GTCTGAGGAAATAGGATCACCTGAGGAATTGGTGAGGTGAGGAGGCTGTGGCTTGTTCTGCTTCTCTGATCTTCCAGCATTCACCCCAATATCTGGCTCCAGATTTGTTTTAATTAATAAGTCCTTTTAAGATTCATGCTACAGCTTCCTTCTGGTTTCTCCCTCCTCTAGCAACCATTAACAGCCAACAGTGCCTCAAGAGGAGGTGTGGCCTCATGGGCACCTCCTCTATCTGTGAGGGAAGCATGAAAGGCCTGACCTTGTGCAGGTATCCATTGCCGCTCTATGTTCATGATTGCAGTGGCCATGCCACATCTGAATGGTGGCATCCTATGGCACTCTTCCCCATCTTCAATTTCTTAAATTCTTTCCTCTCCCTCTTTTCTGATGTTGGCTGATCTTTGGGAAGAGGGCGTTTCCATTTTCCTTAACTCCATTTACTTTTTTTTTTAACCCAGTTTCATGGTTCTTTCCCAATTATACTTTTTCAAACTCATGTCCTCAAAATGATGAATACATGTGAGAATCAGAAATTATAGTTACAGTTTGCCTTGGAAAGGACAAAGAGCATACACAGGATGCTTAATTATTAAATAATCCAATATTATTATCAAGTGTATTGATTTCAGTTTCCCAACAATTTTGTATTAATCACTGCTGACCATGATGGTGTTTTGATTGCTAAATACTTATTTTTGGAACTCCAAACAAGAGAGCAGTTGAACTAACAATGTGATGTTCTCTGATCCACTAGGAGGGTGTAAGAAGAAGTAAGTCTGAGTTCGAGGCCAGCCCCACTGATGGAGTGAGGAAGGAAGAAGGGAGAGCAGCCGACAGGGTGCTAGTCTGTCTTCATGGGCTGGAGCTGGGGCAAGGCCGCACCTGAAATGGTCCCATCTCATTGCAGCCTTAGAATGCAATGTGCTTACTCACTAGCCTTAGGATGGGAACTCAGCCAGTCGTGGTCCCACAGGACACCTTCAGCAGCATTTGTGCTGAGCCTCAGCAGAGGAAAAGAAGGATGACTGACGTCTGAGAGGTCCCTGCCCTGTAACCAAAGGCAGAAAATCTAAGATCTGTAGTCGGGTCCCTAAACGTCAACTTAAGAAATCTGTAACCTTGTTCTCCGTGATTGTCCAAAGCCATTTGCAGCAGGCAACAAACTAATTTCCAGACTCCAAGGCTGGTTTCTGTCTTTGCTGCAAGACTAAGCATTGTTTTTAGAGAACCGCTGTCGCCCGGTGAAGGCCACTGGCACTGCCACCTTAAACACAACGTCTCCTAGCTCTCGGTACTTCATTCACAACAGAGAAATAACCCAAGGACACTTTAGTCCTCCCTAAAGACCCCAAAGTGAGACCGTAAAGTGGGAATTTCCTTCCTGCTAAAAGCTGCACTCTGCATGCATTTCCTAGTTTGACAAACTGCTCTCTTCCAAGTGAATCAATGAGCTAATCCTTGCATACCACCTCTGGACTGGCGCCCATCTTATCTTTACTACTTTACTCAGGATCCTGCCCCTTAAGGAGTTGGCCTTGTTTCTCTTATGGCCACTGACACTTGCTTCCTTGTCCTGGGAATCTGCAGACATGTCCATTTCTCCTTTATAGACTCTAGTGTCTGAGGGTAGGCAAGCCTTCTCCCTCTCTCCCTTGTCTCTGTCTTTCCATTCTTCTCCTGTATTCCCAATGGTGTCACTATGCTTGGCATACCATAAATGCTTAATAAATTGACTTTAGCAACAGGGGGCGAATTACCTTAAAGGACAACATTTACTCCTTCAAAAAATGGCTCATTAGATAATTAAATATTTACACTCACTTCTTCCAGTCTAATTAACAATGTTATCTGTGCACACAGACAAATGTACACACAGTACACCCTAGTTACCCTGAGCCAATCTTTGGGCAAACACAAAAAGAGGATCAACCCCACAAATAATTAAAACATAAACTGGGTCATATTTTGTTCCTGGTTTTCCTTGAGAAAATTGACATGATGCTTAGCAGCAAATGAAAATTTATTTTGCAAATCCATATCCACAAAATGCCACCAAGCATGGGTCATGCATCTTTCTTTTCTGATTTTGATCCCATTGCTATGACTTAGTGTGGTAATTATATTACAAAGCCATTATCCGATGAAATGAAAATGGCAAAACAATTTAAATGCTTGTCTAAAGAGACTCTGTTAGAATGCAATTATGAGTGAAATTACAATGGCAAAATAATTGAAATGCAAGTCTAGAAGGCAGAGTCATGAAACCATAAAAACGCTTCTGTTAGGGACTCACACCCTTGAGTGAAACCGAGTCCTCCTGAGGACACAGTTTCGATTTACTACAGCAGGCAGCATTCATAGACAGATGAAACAGTCCAGGTGCCTCTTCTTCTGTAGTGTTATCTATACTTGTCCATGCCACCTGAAGATGTATCTCACCAATGGGTGCAGGCTTCTGTGATAGACTGATAAGGGAACCCTATGCAATGCTGGGCTTCCATTCTGCACCAGGAAGATAAAGGAAAAAGGGCAAGTCTGGCCTGGCCTTTCCTGTAATGTCTCCAATATAAAAGCTAATGTCATTGCTTGAAGAGGGCTTCCTTCCAAATTTAAGCCTGCAATGAGGAAGTACCCATGTGGATACAGTTCTTAGGATCTGACTTGAAACATTCTACTGATGATTCATCCCCATATGGATACAATCCTTAGGATCTGACTTGAAACATTCTATGATGATACATCCCCATGTGGATACAATCCTTAGGATCGGACTTGAAACATTCTACTGATACATCCATCCCTTGGCAAAACCTTGAAAATTCCTGGACAAGCAGGCTTGTACTGATACACTTGCCTACCAAAGGAAAAGAAAATCAGCAAAGCAAAACACAGTGTCAGATATGAGAGATCTGCTAAAAAAAAGTCAATTTGATGACTAGCTGGGCTTTCTCCCTTGAAGTTTGGTGAGGTCTGCATTTTGATGGTTGAACATACACGTGAGTCTATCAGCAAATTATGCAAGTTGTTCCCAGCTCCCACCTGTGACCCTTCACAGTCTGCTTTCATGGATCCAGTTTTTTTTTTCATTTACGCAGAAGGAAATAAATACTCAGAGAGAGAGAGAGAGGAGCTAATTTAGAAAATAAAACGCTTTAAAGGAATCAAACAATGTCAGTCCTTCTCTCCTTCGTGATTTTCTCTTGTGGTGCCAGAGAGAAAGCTGAGAAGTAACATCTAGCCACGCACAATTTCTTTGCATCAATGATTATGACATTATTTAATAAACTATTTTACAAAACAAAAAATTGTATGTTCTTGGTTTCTCAAGCTTAGTTTATAGAAGTCTCCTGGAAACATAGACAGTAGTATTCTGATTTCTTTTATAGACTGAATTGTGTAAAGATTTTCAGCCACACAAACATGTTCTTTGAGGTGGCATTTCTTTTTTTCTTTCTTTTCTTTAAGAATATTTATTTATTTTATGTATATATGAATGCTCAATCTGCATGTATGGCTTTATGCCAGAAGAGGGCCAGATCCCACTAGAGATAGTTGTGAGCCACCATGTGGTTGCTGGGAATTGAACTCAGGACTTCTGGAAGAGCAGCCAGTGCTCTTAACTGCTGAGCCATCTCTCCAGCCCCGAGGCAGAACTTCTAAGAGGAGTTTGAAAATCCTTCTGACTTAGTGTATTAAGTATCAAGCAGTGTATCAAACACACAAGTTAAACTATGTGTGTTGTTTCCCCAGCTTACCTCAAGAATATTAACGACCCCTCCATAAGAATAAGAACCTTGGTGCATGGTGAACTGAATATAAACATTGAATCTGTTGTCTAGACACCTTACGCAAGTCATATCTCAACACACAGAACTGAATTATTAATAAAATTTGAAGTCGATTTTAAAATCATATTAGAGAATGAAGTTTGTCCAGCTTAGGTATGAAGGTACAAACCCTGAAAACAAATTTAAAATCTCCTACAGAAAATTCTATGTATAAAGCTAACTGGAAAAAAAGAGCAAACATTCTCATAGATCATAGGGGGAAAAGCATCAATGTTCTAAAAATAAGTGACAGTATTAGATGTAATATCTGGAATCAACATTCATGAGTTTATTTAACCTCTATTTAGAAGAGCATTAAGTGAGTTTTCTATAAAGATACTAGGGATCAAAACCAGGGCTCTGCACATGCTTGGCAAGTGCTCTACTGCTGATCTACATCCCCAGCTCTACCTTAGAACTCAAAAAAGGAGACACTGCCTGCCGGGTGGCAGTGGTGCACACCTTTAATCCCAGCACTCAGGAAGCAGAGCCAGGTGGATCTCTGTGAGTTCGAGGCCAACTTGGTCTACAGAGCAAGATCCAGGACAGGCACCAAAACTACACAGAGAAACCCTGTCTCAGAGAGAGAGAGGGAGGGAGGGAGAGAGAGAGAGAGAGAGAAGAGAGAGAGAGAGAGAGAGAGAGAGAGAGAGAGAGAGAGAGAGAGAGAGAGGAACATCAATGCAAGTCTATACTGCCAAGTACCCATGTGAAATATATTAGTGTGTTGGTTAATGGAAGTCTAAATTCATAATAGTAACCTACAAGATTGTATTGCTAGTGATGTCAGAGCTATGTGTATGTGTAGATTTTATAACATTTGCATATCAATTAGTGATGCACTTCTCATTAAATGGCACATGACTTTCCTAGAGTAGGTTGAAATACATTTCTCTAACTTACTTTAATATACACACAGACAAGTTGTATTGATGAATATAGAAAACATGAAGAAATTATCACAAAATTTACAGAATTGCAAAAAATCTACAGAACCCAGGTAAGATTCTATACAGGGGCTCACTACCCAATTTCTCTAATTTTTTTTTGCATTTATAAGATTTTTCATTAAAAATTGCTGGGAAAATGCAATGCTCTAGATGAGAGTTGTTTATTCTGTGCTCCATAAAGAAAGCGTTTTTCAGAACTGTCTCACCGACATAAAGCACTCACCTAGCCATCCAGATCCTGAATTCGGTATGCAGAGGTCAGTCTCTGCACTGGGCAACACGAAGCCGACCACAAACACCTCCACACCATCCGCCATGAGCGCCATGCCCAGGACGAAGAAAAGGGCCCACTGGAAACGGCCATGGCCACATTCCTGGATTATCAGCTCATACTGTTGTGCCAGCTCCTCCTCATCAGCCCTCCTCTCTGACTCCAGGTCTCTGCGGTCCTTGTACTCATCTCCTTTGGGCTGTCCCACAGACACTATGCTGTCCTTCCCTTGGTTCATGCTGGGGATGCCCTGGTACTCCCCTTCATAGATCTCATCCTCTTCATCATGACCCTCCGTGGCCTCACTGGAGCCTTCATCATCGTTGGCCTCTCCACTGTAGGTTTCTCCAGGTGGGTAGTAGTCATCATCATCATCCTCATCCTGGAACCGACTGTAGGACCGCTGGGTGTATTCATCCTGGGCCCGGTCCACGGCCTGGTTCACCTTCTTCACGGTTTGCTTCTTCACCTCTTTGGCAATGTCCTTGGCACCCTTCATCAGTGAAGTCCTATCCTTGTAGGAGTCTTCCATGTTGTCTCAGCTGACGGCCAAGGCGCAGTAGGGAAGTGTCCACGGATGGAGTGTTCAGCAGCTCAGCTGGAAGAGCATCCTCCACCTGTGGTTGAGAATAGAGCTGCACAAGAAGAAGCAGGAGAGAGGCACATTAGTCCTTTCCCTAGGGTTTCCACCACGCAGCTCTTGGGTCCTTTTCACTACCCCACATGGTCATAGAAAGACACAGAATGCGCTTTTCCTGCTTCGATTGCACACACACGTGAGCACACTGTGAAACTTCTTGGTTCAAGTGCATCCCACCCCTGGAGTGGCTAGCCAAGTTGTTACTGTAGTTTTTGTTTTAAAGACTCTTGTTGTCAGGGTAACGTTACTGAGGTATTCTACTGAGAACAAAGCTGACTACCTTACAGCTTTTAAAACACAAACATCCTGTCTCAAAAGGCTCCCCCAAGACTCAAAGATCATCAAAGAAGAGAGAGTAGAAAGATTTAAGAACCAGAGGTGCTGGAGGACTATAAGGAAACTGTTTTCCCGGCGACAACAGGACAGCTATACACATGAAACCACAGTAGTTGTGATGACATGCATAATACCTGGGCTAGCTCAAGCTAGAAAAAGTCTCAGCATGAGATGGGGGTGGGAGAGGAGAGATGGCCAGGAAGTCCTACTCCCAGCTGAGGAGCTCTTGGTGAATAATAGCTGCCAGGAGAAGCAGAGTCAGTTTTCTTTAAGACGATGTCCTCCGGTGGGACCGCCCTGCTCGACGACAGCCCCTACACCTGAGTATTTGGGCAATGAGTACTGCACTCAGACTGGATAAGTTTTTCTTTTTTTTTTTTTAAAGGGGGGCACCAAGTTGGGTGGGAATGGAGGTAGGGGTAGATCTGGGAAGAATTGAAAGAAGGGGAATGATTATGATCAAAACACATGGTAGGAAATTCTTCAAGAATTAAAAAAATATTTTTAAAAAAGATGTAAAGATGTATCTTGACTCGCAAGACACACAGACAGGTACAGACTCACCGGACATATATCTACACACAGTGACGTCACGGCAGGATGAGAACTAGAAGAACCCTTGGTCTCTCTTTCCTTGCACCGAACAGCTCATTGTTCAATGCTCAGGCCGCCATTCCACCCGTCAAACTGCAGTGTCCCCCCCCCCCCATGTACGCTGTTGACAAAAGACTCCCAAGGCACTCCAAATGGGCACAATACCTCCCTTTCCACAGCACCTGCATCTGTGGGAAATTGGCAGGTAATCAAGTAAGTTTATGTGACAACCACGGAATTAGAACACATATTTTGTTTGTGGAGGTCTTCCCTCTCAGAGCTCACCGCACTTGGACAGGAAGAGAAAAGCCTGGTGTGATGTGCCTTCACACCTCCACCTGCTTTGTGTGTAAAGCCCTCCAAGCTTTATCTCTACTGTCCTCGAGTGTAGACACTGGTGGATGCAGAATTCGATGGCACGTTGGAAGTGATGTTTCTTTCCCAGGCAGGTCCCATCTGGAGGAAGCAGGTCACTCCTTCCTTGGGGGGCACTCTTGTACCAGGTTCCTCTCTTTCCCACTTGATATCTGCTTCCGGCCCCCATGAGGTGAGCAGTTCTGCTCTACCACAGACTTCTGCCATGATGCTCTCTCTGCCTGATCACAGACTCACAAACAACAGAGTCAGTTGACCACAGATTACAACATCGGGAACGCAGCTAAAAGAAATCCTTCCTTTAAAATTCTCTTAGATACTTGTTGTAGTGACACAATGCTAACTAATACAAAAGCCACGCTTGGATTGAAAGCAGTAGTTCTCAGAGTGAAGTTTCCTAACCAGGTATGGCCAGGGCTCACAATCATCTTAAGACATCATTCATGCTTTGCAGGGAGTTCTCCTTTGTTTCTATACAAATGACAGTACAACACATCCTGTGCACCAGGCCCTGATAAAAATCAAAATTCATTGACAACCAATGGGCTAGGGAGATGGTTCAGCAGTTAATGCACTTTCTGCATGAGCAAAGGACTGGTGTGAGACCCCTTGAATCCACGGAAATGCTGGGTGGCAGCATTCCTGTAACTCTATTCTCCAATGGTAGAGGACAGAGAATCCCTAGATAATGTTGGCTAGACAGATGAGCCATATCGATCAGCTCTGGGTTTGATTAAGAGACCCTGCTTCAAAGATGAATGTGGAAGACTCATCAAGGAAGGTTTCCAACATTAGCCCCAAACTCCTACATGCATGGGTGCACACATGCTTGTGAACACACACACACACACACACACACACACACACACACACACACACACTACAAATATACAAATGAAATGAAAAAGAAAAAAGAAAACCAAAACAAATTCAGTTTGGTTTAATGCACACTATACCAGGTATGTATAAAGCATTTTATGTACACCCTTATATTTTTCCAAATTCTTTCAATCCTATTAAATAAACGTTGCATTCTCCATCTTTCAGCTGAGAACAGTAAAGCAGAAAGGGGTTAACAATTCCAGGGTCACAGGGCTTGTCAGAGCAGATGGATCTGAGCCTAAGGCTTGTGCCCTCACCTCATCCGCCTCATTCAGTGCTCCCATTGGGGTGTGAGTGAGTGCTCCAGCCTGATTTCTATTCTTTTCCTCTCTGTACTAAAACGGTCTCACCACCTCTTCTCGAAATTATATTGTGGGCTCTAAAATAAAAGGAGTTGGAGTTGTTAATGATATCTTTTTATCAATGATAGCTTTAAATGGATTGTGATTCCCAAGTGTGGTCTTGTTTGTTCATGGAAATGATCACAACATGGTGGTTGTCTTTCTAGAGATAAAATTATGATGTTAAACAAGGTGTAGTGATCAAGAGGGCAGGAAATTAGGCAAAGCCTCAAAACTTTCACAGTCTCCAAAAGACACATGATGATATTCGTTCTTACTCAAATAGGACTCCTTTGCCGTGAGATAAAGGTGGCAGTTCTCCCGTGCTGTTGTGAGGGTTAAGTGACTTTCAGTTCACAATGTGTTTGGACAGAGTTGACATCTATGAAATCAGGATTCCCAGAAGCAGAAGCGCACACTGGGAGCCAGGCACATACCTTTTAGGAAAGAGTGGGGGGTGGGGGTGGAAAAAGTCAGACAGGGCCCTCCTGAGCAGAAGACCTAAAATGTAAGCGAAGACCTCAGCACAGTCTTTTAGAAGGACTTCAGACAGAAGTAATGTGTCCCACCTGTCCCCACAGCAGCTTATAAAATAATCACTCAGAGGCTTAATATTAATTACAAACTGTTTGGTCTATGGCTCAGGCTTATTGTTAGCTAGCTATTACATCTTAAATGAATCCATTTCTATTAATCTATGTATTGCCATGTGTCTCATGACTTTACCTGTGTTCTGTTACATCTTGCATCCCCCACCCCCAGCAACTCACAGCGTCTCCCCTGACTCCACCTTTCTTCTCCCTGTATCTTTGCTTGGATTTCCTGCCTGGCTATAACCCGTCTTGCCATAGGCCAAAGCAGCTTCTTTATTAACCAATGGTAGCAACACATATTCACAGCATACAGAAAGACCATCCCACAGCAATAATGCCTCAGGACTGTTCTTCACTCAAGCACAAGGTTCTACCCGTTCACACCTCCACACCCGTCAAGTGTCAACTAAGGGCACCTAGGGTGACCTTGAAACACAAGGGCTTGCAGCTCTCTGCATAGAGGGGAAAGCAGATCCAGCACCTCAGAGGCAGTCCTCTGAAAAAGAGGAGGGTGCTGGATGGTAGAAACAAGACACACAAAAAAGCCAAGGAGCACGATGAAAAAGCCTCAGGAGTGTGTGGGTAGTGCAGTAAGCATGTCATTGTCCTTCTTCTATTGCCAGTACTGTAGATCAAACTCGGGGCCCTGAATGTGCTGGGCAAACACTCTGACACTGCGTAAGTGCCCCCAGTCTTCACATTCTTGTGTAAACTCCCCAATCATCGTGCTGAGCCATAGCACCCACAACTGATCGATACTATATTTTTAAAGGTGACATTTAAAACAAATAACTTTATATCAATGACATCTGATATATCCAATGACCTGCACATTTTGCACAAATATAGAAAGGGTGACCTCTACATATCGATGAGAGTTATTCTGACAAGAAGTGTGGTGTGTGTATGGTGAGGGTATGTGTGTGTGTGTGTGTGTGTGTGTGTGTGTGTGTGTGTGTGTTCTCTTTTGGTGGTTAACAAAATAGCATATATCTAGTAATGCCACCGAGTATTTTAAAGCTGCTTCACACAAGTTCCCCCCACTACCACACATACTAGCTCATTCACACACACACACACTCATGTAATGCACACACACATACACAGACTCACACACATACACACACACTCTCACACGCATACAAGTTTCTGTTTGTCCACAAAACCCCTTCCCTTTCCCTCATCCCTTCACACTTTCCCTCATCATCAGGACCATAAACAGCTCTTGGGATGCTCTTCCTCCCTAAAACATGTATGTTTTTCAGATGCTCTACAGTGTATCTTTTTCACATGTGCCTTTCCATAGACTTAAAAACACCATGCACTCACTGCATACTGGTACCCATAACAGCAGCCAATCTATTCTCTCCATAGTGAATGTCAGGCCAGACTGGGTTATACAGAAAGCCTTTGTCTCATGGGAGAAAAAATATCAAATTGCGCAGGCCTACCCCACAGCTTACCCTTTGAAGCATCATAGCAACCACCTTTTAGTGAAACTGTGAACCTGTGGTGGAAATGAATCTTTGGTACACGACAGCACCACCCTGTAGCCTGGGAATCATCTAGACTTTTTGCAAATGCCTGGTATGCAGGGATTGCGCAGAGGGACTTATTATGAAAAAACTCAGTTTCCTGGGGCAGGGAGAATGGAGGAGTGGAGAACTGTTATTAAAAGCATAAAAAGGTTCAATTTTTACAAAATGAAGGGCTATGAAGAAGGACAATGATGACGGTTGGGGAATATTGTGAGTGTACAGTTAAAGATGATTAAATGAAAAATTTTATGTTACATTTATTTTATCACAATAAAAACCCCAGAGAAAATGATTTTAAATATATTTTATCAAATCCTTGAGAATCTCATACTTTGC